GAGGCTTGCTTTCTCACTTTCTCTCTCTCTCCGGTCAAATTGCAAAATAATAATAATGAATACAATAATTCTTTAAAATAAATAAATAAATTTGAAGCATGCTAGGCGCATGCATGTACATATCCAAAATCTGAGAGGAGAATAAAGGAGAATAGATTCTAGCGTGGTCACCCCCTCTGAGTGGGTGGGTGGGTGTGTTTTCTCACTTTCCCTCTCTCTATCTACCTCATATGCATACCAGGTAAAAACCTGGAAATTGTTTTGTTGAGATTTTAAGACTGGCTGGTTGCAGCCTTGTCACGTTCTTGGGCCCCAGGGGTATTCCCCAGCTCAACCCTGGAGGCCCTTCCATGAGTGAGAGGATGAAGCACAAGCCTAGTCCACCTTCTGGCTCATCTTTCTCACAACCCCATGAGCTGTGTGTCTGCCTGGCAGGACTGGACTCTGCTGCTGGGCAGAAGCAGAGAAGAGCCCGTGCTATGACACTGGAGCTATTAATAGCTGTTCTCTCGCCACCAGTGGGAAACCTTGTTGATAACAAGGGCCTGAGTATTCAAATTGCTTTTCCACACCGAGCAGGTGTAACATACAGCGTGTGAGCTCTGTGAGTGGGCGCTCCTGTGGCAGTCCATGCTGGCCAGAGTATCCAACAAACCTGGGGTTCATTTTGAACTGCAAGTGACCACTGCAGGGAAACTGAGGCAGGCTGACTAGGAAAAGGTGAATTACGGTATGCTTGGTCCTCGGTTTGGGGGTAGGAATGCAAGGGATGGGATTCCTGCATGTGAACTACAGTACTCAGGATACACCTCATTGAAGGCTGAGGGCATTTAGGAGAGTAAAGCTATACCTGGGAGTGACTCTGGGCAGCTGTCTTGTCCTGTCGTGGTGGCCAAAGACCAGGCAGGTGACAGTAAAACACAAATAGGTATTCTTGCTGGACATTCCACTTTCCTATAGAAAAACATTTGCCAAAAGACAAGTGAGAGGTTGAAGGGATAAACTCTTTGCATGCTCAAGAGCTGTCACACTCTATACACTAATATTTAGGAGTGACGGGCCCCATCCGATCATTTGCTGGACCTTGTACCTGAGTCCTTAGTGGGAACAGAGTTGGCTGGCACCAGAAAACTCAGGTTCGGGTCTCAGCCCTGTCCCAAACCAGTTCTGTGACCTACAGTAAGTCACATCAGCTGGGCTTCAGTTCTCTCACCAGGAACTTGGTAAGATTCTGAGTTGCCAGCACAGAAGCTTAAGATGCTGTGAGCGCCCCTCAGTTTCCATCCTTCCTTCAGTATTGGGGTACTGGATGCCTACTCCAGGGAGAGCTTGAGAACAAGTGCTCTTGGCTAGGAACCATCAGGCCAACGTAGAGTGTGCTGGTAGGAGGAAGAGAAGGTGCAGCCACCAGAGGCACAAGGTCCTCTCCCATCCCCATCAGGCTTCTAGGACCCAAAGAGCATTCTGAATGGTTAACACTGATTGCAAGGAAATGGAACCAATGCCTAAGACGATTGGAAAGTGGTTTCTTTTTCATGATGGGTTTTTAGAAGATAAGCTGTCCCTGAAAATCCACTCCCTTAACTGGGGAGATAGACAGTAGGTACATACATGTTTCGCCAGCAGTTGAATACACAAGGTACTTACAAGGCAAGCTCGTGGATCATGACAAAGCCTCAACTTGAGGAATATCCTTACACTGAAAATAGTTAATCCAGCAAGCCCAACTGAGGTCCTCTGCAAGGTCTGCTTACAAGCATGGTCCTTGGCTTGTGTTGGAACCTGGACCTTCAGGAGAGTCCCCACCATTCCCAGAACAGATAAGAATGCCTCACAGTGCTTAAACCATTTATACAAACAATGTGGTAGGCAGGCCCCATGTCATAATGGTTAAGGGAGCCAGATCCCAATAGCCAACTGAGCAGTTCAAATCCTGGCCCCGGCAGCTTGAAAAACATGCTGGGTGTGTCTGCATGTGCCCTAAATCCCAACAGGATGAAGAAAGGAAGGAGAAGGAATTGTGGTGTGGCCATGGCCCACTGGGAGTTCCTTTCTCCCTCTTTCTTGCTGTTGGCTTCTCTCTGCTAAGTGTGCACACCCTCTGGCAAAAAGAAAATGTGGTTTAGGCTGAGAATCTGCTTTCCTTCTGAGACCCTGGGACTTTGACACATACCAAGCAGGCAATGTCTACATGACCAGCCTCAGCAAAACCCCAAGTGCTGAGTCTCTAATAATCTTCCCCGAGTGGCGACAGTTGACAGTATCGTCACAGCTGGAATTAAGTTTGTTTCATGTGACCCCAGAAAGGGCATTTGAAAGTCTGCACCTGGCATCCCCCGAATTTTGTCCCACGTGCAGGATGCTTTGGCTATGATGAATCAGAACCATGACTACGACTGCATGCTGGGTCCTGTGAGCTCACCTGGTGAATTACCAAACCAGAGTGTGTTTGGGGGACCCCTGACATAGTCCTCCACCCTGGACTTCCAGGCAAGGCTCGGAACACCAAAGCCCTTGCTACCAGACTGGGCCCCAGAATTCAGGTCATTCATGGAAATGACTGTTCCTTCTGCTGAATTCCATTTTCCTGGCCTAACCTCTCCACTCACACTCTAAGTAATCTTAGGAGTTGAGAAGGTCGATTCTTAGGGGTGAGTCTCTCAAGCAGTTCTACTGGAAAGTGCTGACCCAGGAGGGGCAGGGTCCTATGTCCAAGTTCTGAGCCTCTTTCATCTGATACTAAGGATTGGACACTCACAAAGGCTCAGCTGCCCTATTCACTCAACACAAGTGAACACCAAGACCTGAGGATATTCGAGCCCATGGCAACAGCTTACAGAACCACTCTCCATCAGGCAGGAAGGGCTCTTAGGCCCAGCTGGGTCATGTACATGCTGCTACGAGCCCTGCAGTGCACATCTCATCGACTTCTGTTTTCTCCTGCCTCCATCTCTCTCCCATCTCTCTCCTACTCCAGATCCCAAAGTCCCTCAGGGTGCTGTCTTACTAGGTACTCACTGCTCTACAGTTCTGACCCACCCCGATTACACAGCTCACAGGGGCAAGAGGAGGATTCTATTCCAGGCCTCTTGCCCCTGAGAACAGTCCAACGGGGACCAGCAGTTAGCATAATGGCTATGTCACTGGACTCCCATGTAGTCGACAGCAGTTCGCGTCCCGGACCTGGTGGCTTAAAACTCACGCTGGGTGCATATGCGTGTGTGCCCAAGATCCTGAGAGGAGAATGAAGGAGAAGGGATTGCGGTGTGGCCATCCCCCCTGGGGAGTGATTTCTCACTTTCTGTCTCTCTGTCTCTCTCTCTGTCTGTCTGGCGAGCACTCGCGCCCTATAGCAAAAACCTCTCAAAAAAAAAAAAAAATGTAGAACAGTCCGACGGGTTGTAAGTCTCCGCACTGAGGTTTCTCTCTCTGCCTCTGGCTTTATTTATTTATTTATTCATTCATTTATTTTTTTTTAAGTTTCTATTTATTTATTTATTTATTCATTTTTTTTTTAAGTTTTTATTTCTTCCATGCATGAGAAAAACAGAAAAAGAAAAAAAGCAAGCAAAGCCAGCAGGATGCTGAAGCCACCATCTACCCCAGCCTTAGCCAGCCCCAGATTATAGGCACACACATCCAATTTACTCCAAGGTCTCAGGGTACGGGCCTGGAACTTTTTTTTCCTATTGGGTCAGCCTCGCTCGGCATTGCAGTTTACTATGGCCACTGTCCAGCCCCTCCTGTCGCTGGATTTCTTCATTTCCTTTTTTGTTGTTGTTTTTGTCTTTTCTTGGAGAGGTTTTTGCTATAGGGCATGTGCTCTCGCCAGAAAGACAGAGAGAGACAGAGAGACAAAAAGCAAGAAATCATCCCCCCCGGGGGGCAGGGGGGGGGAAGGCTGGCCACATCGGAACCCCTTCTCCTCCAATTCTCTTGGGATTTTGGGCGCGCACGCACACGCGCCCAGCATGAGTTTGAAGCCACAGAATCTGGTACTAGAACCACGGTCGACTATGTGGAAGTCCAGTGACCATTATGCCATTTGCTAGTCCCTGGATTTCTTAATTTCTTAAAGTAGAGTAAGCTTCTGCCCTGGCTAGCATCAACTAGCTCTAAGATTTATACCTTTATTTTCTTTCACTTTTTTTAAAGAAAGAGTTTTGCTATAGGGCACATCCACTCGCCAGAGAGACAGAAAGCAGGAAATCACCCCCTCCCAGGGTGGAGGAATGGCCACGCTGCAATCCCTTCTCCTCCATTCTCCTCTTGGGATCTTAAGCACACATGCATATGCACGCAGTGGGGGTTTTAAGTCACCAGATCCAGGACTCAAAACACAGTCAACTACATGGGAATCCAGTGACGTAACCATTATGCCACCTGCTGGTCCTTATCCCTTTACTTTCTAAGTAGAAATTAGAAATAAACAGAAGACCAACAGCAGGTAAGAGAAATGGTTTAACTTTATAAAAACGTGATAGTACAGCAAGATTCTATTAGGTTTTTCTTGTTTTTCTTCTTCTTTCTACAAGTAAAGTTTATTTTAAAAACCACCTGGAATAAAAATTGGAATCAGGAGCTAACACAAACTAGACGCATAAAGATTTCAAGGAAAGAGTCACTCAGAAAGACAACAAAGGGAACGCAATGGCAGAGAAGCGGCAGAGACGGGGGAAAGCAGGTTCTGCTGTGAGGAGAGAACCATCAAAGGCCAACACGAATGCGCCTTCCAGCCCGGGCTGAGTGGAAGGTGGGTATGGCTGGGCAGTGGTCACCAGAGAGGCATGAAGGCGTCACAGAAGGGACCACACAGCTGGCTGCTGGCACAGTGGGTGAGGAGGGCAGCAATGGCCTCCTGCAAACGGACCCAGAACCTGCCCCCCGGCAGAACTGCCAGCCACAGGGCAGTGATTCACAGCCAAATCCCATGGACTGGACTGGAAGGCTGGCTTTCTCCAAACTGGCAGCTCCGCAGGTCACTGTCCCACCATAGGTGGCAACTCATTAGAATGCCAGCCTAAGCTAGGGTGGCAAACTTGCCAGAGAGGAAAAAAGAACTAGACATGGAAGGCTCATACAAAACACTTCCTGGCATGTCTGCACCATGGCCCAGGCAGAGTCAGGAACACCTGGAGTGGCAGGCTGGGAACGCCCCAGCAATTATTTCCCAGCTCCTCCCTCCAGGGAAAAGACATCCCAGGGACACTGGGTAGATTCCTGACTACATTCTGAGGTAGTCTAACTGTGACTTGCACAGGTAGCTAAGGACAGACACAAAATAAGGAGGGAAGGAGGGGAAAGAGAGGGCAGAGAGAAAATGCTAACATATATAATGGGATGAACGACGCCACGACTGGGCTTGGAGATGAACAGAATGTAGCTGAGGCTTACGGAGGTGGTGATGGGGCCACATGGACCCTGGGTGACCACACTCTCATACTACTCGATGGCAGTGTGGCAGGAGATGAAGGGACCCACAGAGGGATTTCTTGGTCCAAAGCAGTGACAACTCTACGGTAAGGAGTGTCTGCCTTAAACACCTCGTCGCTGCTACTGATTCAATTCCATGATGGCGATGAGCCTGGGGGCTTTGGGCTGAGGAGCCCCCAATGTCCCCTTCACCTATGACCCCTCTTACCTGAACATGGCTGGGGGGAGACTAATACTGCTACACTTCCACTGGAAAGACACTTAGGGGTTCCTGCAAGTGAGGGAGGACTCAGACCTTAAGCGACCACTGAAAGACAAAATGAGAACAAGCAAAGGCGTTCTTGAATGCCCCTACTTTTTTTACATGCTAATTTCCATTCTTTTTCTCTTCTGACCCAGCACTCAGAATTCTAAGTCTGGGTGGAATGTTCTGAAGGTCTGGGAAGCAGGAGCTGTGTGCACATTAGTATTTTCTCTGCTTGCCACATTTCCGTGAACGCCTTCTGGGACGGAGCTCACCGAAGTCTTCAACTTCATTCCCGTAATCATCTTCTTCAACGATACCTGTTGCAAAAGCAAACACCAGAACCAAAGTGTAGAATGGTGATTTTCCCCCAACTCCTCTGTAAAATATACTAACATCCTAGTAAAATCTAAGTTTCTGTAATCATTGTTTTAAATGAGAGAAATAGAGTTTTCCACCAGGGTGCCAGAGAAAGAGAATTTTCCTCTGAGTACTCACATTGCTTCTCAAGAAGCGCCAAAGGAAACAATGTTCTCTAGAATTAAATTACTTTATAGGCTGGTTCCTCGGACCTTATCTTAGAGGTCCTTTAAGTGGCAAAGAAATCAAGCAAAGCCTAAGCTCAACCAAGCACTTGAGTCAATATACCAATCATCTTCCCTTCAAAATAATCACAGTTCCCAGAAGGGACTATAGGCTAAGGATTTTTTTATCGGCACAGACATTTATGCCAAGTCCCTTCAAGTTTCCTCCAGCTCTGGGACCTAGATTTTCCAAAAGCATTTGGACTAGAAGGACTCAAAGGGTATCTGGAGCTGGAGAAATACCAGGAGTAAGAAGAAATGTGGCTCAGACAGGCAGGCAGGGCGACGGTTGGAAAGGACAAGAGGGAAGGCATTAAAAATGATATAAAAAATCATATAGAACCTGGCAAGACAACTCTGACTGCCAAGAAAGAAGCCTGAACCACTACAGCCTTCAACCCTCCAAAAAAGATGCCGGCCAGTTTCCCCAATAATTTCATTTTTATCGTTCACAAGCATATCCCCAGCCCAGAGCAACTCTGATACAGACTAGATGCCCAATAAATATTCACTGAATTAAATAAATAATTGGCACAAACATATTTAACAAGAGATGGCTTTGCAATATTTTCTCTTCGGAAGTCCTTCTTCCGAGGATGCACTGTGACAGAACATCATCACTAGAGCTCATGAGACGTGAAATAGGTTTGGGCCAGTCCTGTAGCCAGTGGTTAAGGAAGCTGGATCTCTCATGGCCAACTGTGACTTGAATCCTGGCCTGGTGGTTTGAAAAGCATGCCAGGTACATGGGCAGGTATGTCCAAAATCTTGACAGGATGGTGAAATTGGAGAAAGGATTACAAGACCATACCCCAATGGGGGATGTTTACTCTCTCTTTCTCTCTCTCAGTTAGAAAGTCCAGGCACACTCTGGCAATTGGGAAAAAAAAAAAAAAGAGGAAGAAGAAAAAGGTTTTTATCGGGACCAGCAGATGGCATAATGGTATGTCGCTGGACTTCCATGTAGTTGGACCACAGTTTGAGTTATAGATGCAGCAGCTTAAACTCATTCCAGGTGCATGTGCATGTGTGCCCAAAGTCCTGAGAGGAGAATGGAGAAGGGATTGCAGTGTGGCCACCCCCTCCCTTGGAGGGTAAGGGGGGGAGTTTCCCACACTCTATCTCTCCACCTCTCTGTGTGGCAATGACACATGCCCTATACCAAAAATCTCTCTCTAAAGAAAAAGATAAAAAAAAAGACAGGTTTTTATCAACTAACATGAGCCCAGATGAACTGCCCACATGGTCAGATGGGGAAACTCAGATCCAACATTGCTAATAATTTGACTCACTGAGAGTGATGCCCCTAGACAGTAAGAGGCCACTACTGACATCACTGGGAAGCCCCACTTCGGATCCACCTGGAGATTACTGGTTCCTGGAACACAGGACTCCTTACCTTCCTCCTTCAGGCGGCGCTCTGTTTTCACCAACCACTCCCGTGCCTCCCTGATGGAGAGGATCAGAATGCTGACCAGATGAGTCATCGCCTCCTCTGCTGCAGAACCCAAAACACAGGGATGCTGAGTGAAGAGACCACTGATAGGACTAGAATGTCCAGTACCATAACCAGAGCCCTCATGCCCAAGAGCTGTCTCTGTGCCTTCCCCAAGGAAAACCTTCCTTCCAGGGTTAGAGACCACCACTGCTCTCTGCCACTGGAAGCAGAGACGAGAGCTGAACGCCAATCTGATGCCAGGCCTGTGTGTCTGTAGAGACTGCCAGTAGCAAACCCTCAGGGAAGCCAGCATTCAAAATGTCATGAAAGCTTGAACTGGAGAGAGTGCTTGAATTATACAGTGTTTTAAAATACACAATTTCAGGGCCAGCAGGTGGCGTGGAAGTTAAGAAGGCTGGGTCCTACAGGGTCAACTTAGCAGTCCACATCCCAGACCCGGCAGCTTGAAAATCATGCCAGGCACATGTGTGTGTGTGTGCCCAAAATCCTGAGAGGAGAATGAGGGAGAGAGCAGTTCGCATCCCAGACTCGGCAGCTTGAAAATCATGCCGGGTGCATGTGTGTGTGTGTGTGCCCAAAATCCTAGAGGAGAATGAGGGAGAGGAGTTGGCAGCATGGCCATGCCCCCTGCAGGGGGAGTGATTTCTTAGTTTCTTTCTGTCTCTCTCTTGGTCTCTGGGGAGTGCATGCACTTTATACCAGCAAACTAAAAAATATATAAATATATATGCAATTTCATTAACTCTATATATAACATAACTTCTACCCCATGTTGCTAAGAAGTAGCTAATAAGGAAGCTGAAGGAAACCTGATTCAAAGGCCATGAAGATATCCTATTATCGGGCTGGCTCTGGGACACAGTGGAGAGAAGCTGGAGCCCACATGGTGGCCACAGTTTGAATGTCCAGCTTGTTCAGCCCGAAACACACAAGGCGTGTGTTCCCAGACACGGGTTCAAGTGCCCAAGATCCAACAGGCTGGAGTCCTGAGGGAAGAGGATTGTGGTGTGACCAGACCCAGCTCTCTCTCATGCATATGCACAAGTTCTATCATGAACAAAGAAAAAGTAAGTTAAAATAAAATAACTATTATTAAAGGCTCACACATACATATGACTTAAGGAGCCTCCCCAGCTACACACTTCTAGGATATTAGTCAAGACTTCAACACATAGTAGGTGCTTAAGAAATTATCATGGACAAATGAATGAATAAGGAGAGCCTTGACGAGTTTCTTAAGACGTAAAACATTCTCCCTATGCCTTCTCTATAAACTTAGTTGATGAGCCATTTCTCATTGTAGTGCATGGGGAAACCACCTCAGCCAAAGATAATCACAAATTTTTAACAGGGGGAAAAAACAAGTCAAACAATAAAGTTTGGCTGTAACTTGAGAACACACTTCTCCCTCATATTTCTGCTAATGCCAAGACCCTAGCATCCCCAAGTCAGAGGTCAGGACTTAACTCTGACAAGCATTCTTTTAGCCCAGGTCTAACAACCTGGGCCCCCATCTCAACAGGCCCTTACCTCCAGCCCAGGCCTTCCGTCTGTAGAGGTCCTCCACTTTGTCGGCAACCCTCTTGATGTGCTCCTGGACCTTCCGCTGTAACATGTGGCTATGCTCTTTGGAGCCCAGGTGACCACGGATCCACACACTCTGCTCAATGTCCTGTACCACCAGCTTGCCTTCATCAATGGCTGGGTCCACCTTCTCGTGGAAAAATTCCGAGTACTTCTGGTAGGCCACTTGCTGCCTCTTGTGGTCTTCTAAGCAGATGTGTTGCTCATAAGACTCACTGTTTCCTTGACATTCCTTGACTTCTGGCTCAGCCATGGAAAGGGCTGCAGCCTCTGAAGCTGTTCCTTCAAATACTTCGCTGGGACTGAAGTAGTTCTCAGGACCACAAGTGAACTTCACTCCACACAGGTCACACTGGGTCCTGTCCACATCGGCCTTTTTGAAGTTTCCAGCCCCAGGCTGTCTGGCCTCTTCCCTGATACGCTCTGTCTGGGCACCCACCCTTCTCCTCCAGCTGATACACAGAGATACGACCAGGCACACTCTTCTCAACTTCTTCTGGATGGAGACCTTCCGCTGCTTCTGGGAAAGGATGGCAGCCAGGAGGTGGTCTCGATCTTCTAACGCCAGCTCCTCTGTTTCATCCTGACCAAACTCACACTCAGGATCAGCGAGGTAGTCCACAGGGTCTACACAGAGCAGGCGGTTTAGTCTGACCTCCTCATGATAGAGGCCATGGACCACAGTCCCTTTGGAGTGTGGACTGTCCCACCGCCAGTGGCAGTCCATCAGGTACTCTTCGTCTCGCTCAAAGAGCAGGTCTTGCAGCGCCTCGGCTACAGATTTCACACTACGGGCCACCAACACTCGCTTCACCACCTTCAGGAGCCTCTCAGGAACCTGGTCTGGGCAGTCCATGCTCATCAGCTGCAGCTTCCTCTCAATCTCCGGGAGGTGGCGGTAAAAGAGGGGCTTGCAGTATGGCTGCAGGACCTCCTCGGCATT